AGTTGGAACTGCCAACCTTTTTGCTCCTGGTGGGTTGCAGCCATGGGGCATTCCCTGCTCAAAGGACTGCTGGGGAGCTTGCTGGCCTCTTGGTGTTTGGTTAGCCTGGACCCCTTCCAGCCCAGTTTGTTACTGGGAGGGCAGGAAGCAGTAGCTTTGTGCTGGGATTAGGGACTTGCTGATGCAGCAGAGATGGATCCTGCTGGGAAGCCATGGCCAGGAGGGATTTGTGCACCCCTGGCTGGGTTGGTCTGACTGTTAGTACCCAAAACAAGCAGGGAATGTTAGTGTGTGCCTTGAACTGGCTAAATTTAGACCTATTAGTGACAAAATACTGATGGACTTGCTGTGGGGCTAGCTCTGGCCAGAGCTGCCTGCACCAAGTCCTTTGTGCATCGCTTGCTCTGTTCCATAACTTTGGCTTTTTAAACCACTTCAGCTGTTCTTTTGGGTTTTTATCTGCTGTAGTCTGGGGTTCTTGATCCCAGGGAAGGGCCTGGCTGGAGCTCCATGAGCCTTTGATCAAATATCCTGCCAGCATCCAGGAGGACATTGGAAAGAGCAAACCACTTTCTATCCACTTTCTATCTACGGGCAGCTTGGCGTGTGCACCCTGGGCAAGAGTGCAGCACCCAAAATTGGGGTGCTTTGGGGCTGGAGATGCTGAATGCTGACCTGAGGGATGGTTCCCAAGTCTGCTGCAGATGCTTAGCGGTATCTCACTGACTTGCACACAAATGAAGCTTTTTTTTTTTTTTTTCTTGAGCCACAGGTGGTAAGGAAATAAAAAACCCTTATTTTTGTTACTGGGGGGAGGTGTAACAGTTGTGTAGGAGGAATCATGATTTGCCAACACTAATACAGTAAAAGAGCTTTTTTTTTTTTAATTTTAAAGCACAAAGTATCTTACTGAGCTGAGGCTGCAGGCTAAACATGTGAAGCAGGCGCTCCCATGCACTGTAAAATAGCCCCTTACCTCTGCTTACTCAAACACCAGTGAGCCAGAGCTGTGCTGTTGTGGTTGGAACAACCGTGCCAATAAATGATTTCTCCAGTGTCTTGTCTCCTGGGCCCTGGTTACTTCTGCTTGACTTCCAGCCACCTCAAGTGATTGTGTGGAAGCAGGTGAGACCTTTCTGTCTTCATATAATGGTTTGGGTTGGAAAGGACCTTAAAGATCACTCAGTTCCAAACCCCCTGCCATGGGCAGGGACACCTCCCACTAGCCCAGGTTTCTCCAAGTCCTGTCCAACCTGGCCTTGGACACTTCCAGGGGTGGGGCAGCCACAGCTTCTCTGGGCAACCTGTGCCAGGGCCTCACCACCTTCACAGCCAAGAATTCCTTCCCAGTATCCCATCTAACCCTGTACTTGTCAGTTTGAAGCCATTCTCCCTTGTCCAGTCCCTCCATGCCATGTCCCTGGTCCCTCTCCAGCTCTCCTGGAGCCCCTTTAGGCACTGGAAGCAGCTCTAAGGTTTCCTTGGAGCCTTCTCTTCTCCAGGTGAACACCATCAGCTCTCCCAGCCTGTCTCCAGAGCAGACGGGCTCCAGCCCTCAGAGCATCTCCATGGCCGCCTCTGGAGTATCTCCTGCAGTTCCATGTCCTTCAGATGCTGGCACCAGCTCTGGAGGTGGGGTCTCACCTGAGCAGAGGGGGAGAATCACTTCCTTGTGCAGGTGTGGTCAGACTCATCCCTGTCCTCTGACCCTGCTGGTGACAGCCACTGCCTGGGGCTTGTGCTGGTGGTGGGGAAGGTGCTTCAACCTGGATCAGAGAACAGCCAGGACTGTGCCAGCACTCCTGCTGCCTGCTGGGCAAGCTCCTTTCTAAGTTAATTTACTGCCCCTCAGCTGTCACCCTGGTTACAATTCTTCCTTCACGTTTGGCACGCAGGGCTGTGCTGTGATATCCTGACTTGGCACCAAGGAAGCACAGGAATTGCATCCGAGCTGAGGGCTTGTAACTTGTGTGTGGAATTACTGGTGTAAAAAAAAAAAGACAGCTAGTAAAAGAAAAAAAAAAAAAAAGATCAAACACTTTTTTTTTTTTTTCCAAAGAAAACTTTAATTTCAACAAGACTGGAAGCTGCACAAAGAGCGCTACCACAAGTTTCTTCAGAACAACAGCTTAGAAGTTATCTACATTGGTACCTGTGGAGTTGGGAGTTCTCCTTTTGAACAGCCTGGCCACAGGGGATGGACCTTGCAAAGGCCACCAAACTGTCCCTGGCAGCTCTGTCCTGTTCCAGGACGTGGGCTCTCCTTCCCTTCACAACAGCAAAGCAGCATTTGAGGGGGGTGGGTAGGGACCTTGACAACAGCCATCCACCCCAGCATAACAGGACTTGCCTTTAAAATGTTTTTGTTTTTTTTTTTTTCCTCTTGTAAGTCCAAATGTGTCTGATGATGTATCAGACCAGCCTCTTCCAGCTCCCCCATCAGTGTAACCCAAAGCACCATTCCAAAGCCGGAGCCGAGTTTGCCAGGGAAACCTGCCCTGGTCACCCCCTCAGGGGCTCCAGCCTTCCCAGCCCAGGGCAGGGATTGCTGCTGCCTTTCAGGGTGGCCAATGCCCCCTCAAAAAACATCCCATGAGGGACAGCAGGGTGCAAACTCTCTCTCCCCCCTGTTGCCGTGGCACCACCACCCATCCCCCCGGGCTGAGCCCAGACCCAACAGTGGAGCCCTGGGGTTATGAGCTCAGGGCCACACTGGCATCTCCCTCCTCATCTTAACCCCCTCCCCACTGCTTAAACAAGGGCATTGCCAGTGCAGGGGTCATCTGTCACAGGGTAGGGAACTGCACAGCTGCCTTTCAGCTGGGGGCACGCTAAAGTGGACAGAGCATCTCACCACCATTAAAAAGGCTTCTTTCAGCATCCTTCAGCACAACAGAAATGGGACTACTGCCTCTGCCTGTTTCCAGGCTGCAGGATGTCAGCCAGCCTGGTCTGAGGGCTAGAAAGTGGCCAGAGCTTTTTTTCCCCTGGATAAGAAAGCATGTTCCTCTCCCAGCTGAAGCAGCGTCCTTCCAGCATGGGGCAGGCTCGGGATGCGATGGGGAAGAGG